TGTTTTCCTGAAAAAAGTTTAGGAGAGAAAAGTGTTCTAAAGGCTCAAGTGTGAAGGTACAGTAGGACTAGAGTGAGGGATGGTGTTGAGAGAAATTCTGAGACATAATTGAAAGACCTGCATATGAAATGAGACAGGATTGAGGATTACTCCTAGATTATGCCTCAGGTAACTGGATGGGTGATGGTGCTGTTCAACAAGTTCCAGAAATAAAATGAAAAGCAGTGGTTGGTTTGGAGACTGGGGAAATCTTGGTTAAGCCAGTTTGGTTTATTTCTAGAAAGAGCAATGTTGTGAATAAAATTGGGTGGTGTGGCCTTTGGAGAGATGGAAAGATATTGTGGCATGAATGAGGTTGTACCATATAGTTGGCTTATTTCAAGCTTGTAACTCCTGCCTTTCCTAGTTGAATCCTTACTTAGTTTTTATCTGCAGCATTCTTATACTCAAAAAAGAAGAGCCTCTTGTTGCAGTTTAGTTAGCTTTCTTTAGCTTTAGCGTAATGGGATATGTTTGTAACAGAAAGTGAAACCTATGACTTAAGAGTAATGCTGTGATGAGTTCTTGTTGAATAACACATCACTCCAAACTCTGTGATCATGGATCCAAACAGCACATAATGGGGGTGATCTGTCTCTCATCCACAGTGTTTGCAGGCTCATCTGGGCAGATAAAACAATTGGAGTGAGTCTTTTTCCCTCAGAAGCCTGTTGCCGTGACTAGGGGTACCTGGCGACTGGGTCCAGTTGAAACTTCTGTGGAGTGCCTACATAGGCCTCTCTGTGTTGCTGAGCCTTTTCACAATGTGGCAGCCGAGTTCCATGAGAAAAGCTTCTAGAGGGAAAATCCTGAGAAGTAAGCATTTCAAGAAAACTAGATTTTTCCTAATGTTACGTGGCATTACTACTCCTTACATAATGGCTAAAGTGTTTCAACTCACCAGGATTCAAGATGGAGAAGTATTAGCAATTTGCTGATCATTTTGTATCTCCCCCTACCACATTATAATTTCCCATAAGTAGAACTGTATTAGCTTCTATAAAGAGAGGAAGACCGAAATAGGCTGTAGGGAGACAAAGGCATTCGTTTTTACTAAACACATGACTTTCCTGAAAGCTTGATATACATGTGACAAAGGAAGGTTTCTTTGTTGTTCTCATAGCCTCTTAGAAGAATAATAGTCAAAAAAAGAAATTATTGCATTTTAGCTAGTCCTGAAAATTCCTATTACAACTTTAGTATCCCTATTCAGAAAATTAGAAATCCAAAACTTCCCAAAATCCAAAACACTTCTGGTCCAAAGCTATTTCATATAAAGGAGACTCAACCTGTATCTAAAACTATGTCTTGTTACTCTTGTACCTGTTGTAAAGCCTCCCTCACCTTTGTCCCTCATTTGCCCTATTCTTCCCCTCCCCAAATAAAAAATAAACAACGAATGGCTACTTTTAGTTCTTTAAATCTGTCATAGGCTATTATAGTAATATTCCATTGTGTGGACATAGAATGAGATGTTTAATGAATTCCCTGTGGAATTGGGGTCTATATGGTTTTTTACTATTATAAACTATACTGTAGTCACCTAATTTTCCAGGAGTAGGATACATTATAGAAGTTAAAGCAATGATACATTTGCAGTTTGGATACCTCTGCTCTATTATATTCCTTGGGTTAAATGATTTCAAACCTACTTGTATCTCACCAGCAATGTGTAAGAGTGCTTGCTTCCCTTTAGCTTTGCCACCAAGTGTGTGATCAGATGTTACTATTTTTACCACTCTGGTAAGTAAAAAGTTGGAACTTGGTTCAGTATTATCTTACATTTTTCTTAAGTAAGCTATTTTACTTTCCTTGTCTATAAATGTTTTCATTTTCTTTGCCCATTTTAAACATTAAATTGTTGCTCTTTCTTTTGCTTACATTTAGGGTCTCTTTCTTACTTTTTGAGGAATGGGAAAAAGTTTCTGAAGAATGGAGAAACAAGTGTGGAGTAATGGATGAAAAGGAGTAAATAAACAATTATTAGTTGTTAAAATCAAGTAGCCTAAGCCCACTGCTTGTTCAGTTATAGATACTGCTCTCTGTATAGTTGGATTTATCTAACATTTGACAATATGATCTAAAGTATTTAATGATTAAGGAAAAAGCCTGAGTTATAAAGCAGCATTAACACTCCCACCTACCTTTGTTTATATATATTTTTTACTTGAAAGGAGTTATAGAAAAATGTTTTAGAGTTTTAGTCAAAACAAAATTTTCAGTTAGATAAAAGAAATGAACTCAGGAGACCTATTATGGAACAGGTGATTATAGTTAACAATGTATCGTTTATTGGAAAGTTGCTTAAAGGAGTACATTTTAAATATTTCCACCCCCAAAATATTGGCATGTGAAGAAATGATTATGTTAATTGACTTGATTTAGTTAATCCACAGTGTACACATAAGACATCGTGTTGTATACCACGAATAAGCATGACTTTTATTTGTCAAAGTTGTAGCATGGAGCTGGCGGCTCATGTCTGTAATCCTATCTACTCAGGAGGCAGAGATCAGGAGGATCACAGTTCAAAGCCAGCCCTAGGCAAACAGTTCAAGAGACCCTATATCAAAAATACCCAGCACAAAGCAGGGTTGGCAAGTGGCTCAAGTGGTAGAGCACCTGCCAAGAAGCATAAGGCTCTGAGTTCAAGCCCCAGTACCGCCAAAATAAAATAAAAATAAAGTTTGCACTGTAATCCTTGAACATCACTTTTTATTTTCTCACATTGTGACCCTCATTGGCACCTGGATTAAGTAGTAGTACTGTAAATATTCATTTTATCATGGCTGTTTCTTATTTCCTTTGTCTATCATTTAATGAACATTTGCAAAAATATGAGTTTTTAATGACAGCATTAAAATGTGCTATAGTATTTGAGCATTTCCCTAATTTTGGACACTTATGTTGAGGTATATTGCAAATAATACTGCTCCAATTATCTTCCTTTATATATCTTTTTGCTTTTGTTGAATTATTTCCTCAGGATAAATTCCCCACTGAAATTATCAGATAAAATCTATGAGCATTTTTATAGATCTTTGTATGAATTGCTATTTTCCAAAGTGTTTTAAAAATATATAGTGTAGCCAGTAATAAATGAGACTATTGGAACCAAGTAGACCACCACGATGGAGAATATCATTTTTCAAAATTATTCTTCTTTCAGTAGTATAAAAAGTCCTATCACTGCTGTTAGTTTTTATGTCAAGTAAAGTTGGTCACCAGCCTCTCTTTAAGGTTTTCAGGCATCTACTTAGTCAGGTGTTTGCACTGTCCCATGACCCTGTTGGTCCCGTGGCTGATTATCTACTCATTGCTTAAAGGATCCTTCGTAATCAGTAAAGCATTTAGCTGGCCACTTTTCTTAACACTTCCTGTTGACAGAGCCCTTCCCTCTATCATTTTCTTTTTGTGATGGCATTTTGAATACTTTTTATTCATTCTCCCCTTAAACAAATCTTTTGATGCGGCTCACATTCTTTGAGGTTTCTCTTTTCCTTCTCATGTCATTTGTGAATGGCTCTGTGGCAAAAGTAGACAAAGCAGATTTTTCCTGCTCTACACGTCTTACCTGCTCAACCCCGCCCTGTAGGATCTCCAAATCTCCAAATGCCACTCCTCAGCTTTCCTGTGCTGCACCCCTCTCCTTTTGCTGTTGAAGAGCTTCCCTTGGTCTAGAATTTCCTGTTACCTTTCTCCACCTTTCTAATCTGGATTACCGCCCCCCCCACCCCCCACCAGTGACAAGTTTTCTCACTCTTAGTAACTTACTGTCTTTGTTTCCTTGTACCTGGAATCTGGATATGGATTGGTGTAGTCCCCAGTTTACAGTCTCACCAGGTTGAAAACAAGATGTCAGCGGGTCTATGTTCTCATCTCTACTGAGTTCCTTATCAGCAGGCTGTTAGGAGGATTTATTCCTTATTGTTGTAGGAGCAAGTTTCCAATTTCCTTACTGACTGCTGGTGCCTCTCTAGCACCTCATGGCCTCCCTGAGGTCCTAGCCACTTGGCCTTCTCTGTGGCCCCTCACTGCTTCACAGCCAGCAGGGCTCTCTCCAGTCTGCCAAGATGGAGTCTTATATAAAGCAAGCTAATCACTGGAAGGAATTTCCATCCTTTTCATGTGTCCCAGCCATATTCCAATGCAGGGGTTTCCACAGGCCATGTGGGTAGGATTCTTGGGACCATCTCAGCCAACCGCAGGGTACTGCTCATTCTTCAGTGTCCATTTGGAATAATGTGCTATTTATGAGCTCTTTTTATAGCTTTCCCAGCATTGTGAACTGCTCCCTTGCTTCTTCCCTACAGCACTTTATATCTTCTCTCTTAGTCTCCCTCTTGTATGAGAAGCACAGCCTTAGAATTCCTGGCCCTGAAATAATCTGAACAGGACACTTTACCTTTTGGAGGAAATGGTGCTAGATAGATATGCCTTCTAGGTTTGCTTTCTCTCTGTGCGTTTTTAAGAATAAACACTATGCTATTTTAATAAAGTTTAGGTTCTTAATGCCCAAGAGACTCTGAATATTAATGATCTACTATCTCATGTTTTGAACATGTGTCCCTATTTAGCAAGCCATTTAAATACAGAGGCTATCTTTCTTTCTGTTCTGTAACCTGTACCTCGTGGGCTAAATATTTGAATCAGAGCAAGCAAAGATCACAGAAAAATCACAATTCAGAGTCAGGAACCAGGGCTTAAAAGGGTCTGGACTTTATTCCGAAATAAGAGCCACTACTCCAGAGTGGACTCTAGAAGGCTTCTCTGGGGAAAGTAAGGGACAGGGAGAAGGAAAAGGTAAGATTGGGCACCCACTTAAATGTGTCCATGACTGCTTTCCATTGTGTTGCCATTAGTATGCACCACATCGGTGTAGCTGGTAACTATAAGGGAGTGTTGTACATCTGTCTTTGTGCTTTCATAAATGCTTGTTGTATTTGATTTTCTAATTGTAGCTGGTGCTCAAGATCAAATCGGCTGGGCTTTTGGCCTAGGCTTAGAAAGACTGGCCATGATCCTCTACGACATTCCCGATATCCGTCTCTTCTGGAGTGAAGATGAGCGCTTCCTGAAGCAGTTCTGTGTTTCAGACATTAATCAGAAGGTGAAGTTTCAGGTAAGATGACCTACAAAAACTAAGTAATTAACAATAAAAATGGTCATCAAGGATTGAAAGGATCATGTACTTAGAAAGGAAACTGTTGGGTTTTAAAATAATGGTTTAAAATAGGGGTCCATAAACACTCAGAGGGTTCATAAACCATTGGAAATTATATACACAATAAAGATTTGTCAGTCTTCTTAGTCTAAGCACAGAACTAACTTTGGGCTTTATTAATGACCATTTTGTCATAGTGTAATACCCATCTTTATCACTGACGGTACTTTTTTAAAGTTTACCTTTTCTGATACTAAAATAGACACTCTGGTTTATGAGTACTGTTTGCAGTGTATATCTTTTTATCACTTTACTTTCATTTTATGTCTTTCTATGTAAGAGTCTGTCTTTTATGAACAATATAAAGTTGGGGCTATTTTTTAGCCCAAATTTAAAGTCTCTGTCTTCTAGTTGGAGTGCTGAATACACTTACATTTAACATAATTACTTATCTGATTGGCATTGAGTCTCTCATCTTTGTGTTTCTTCTCCAATATTCCCATCTATTCTTTATTTCTTTATTCCTTTGCTTGGGAAGTGAAGTTTATTGTTTTTGTTTAAGGCTTCCATTTTTTTTTCTCTGTTGGTATTTGATTTCACCACTATATATGATTTTAAATAGTTACCCTAGATTGTTATATGTATAATTGATTCATCACACTTCACCACAGATAAATATTATACAACTTCATGTAATATTTAACAACTTTGTAATAGTATAATTCTGTTGGCTTCTATTTTTATTATTGTTAGATTATTTTCATATATATTATAATCCCATAATATTGCAGTATGTGCTTCAAAAATTCAATTATCTTTGAAAGAAAATTAAACTCTGTTGCTATAATTTCCTTTGATATTTACCCACTGATCATTGTCCTTTTCTGTAGATCTTAGTTTTCTCTGTGGTCATTTCCCTTTGGTCTGAAGAACTTCCTCTTACAATTAAGGATCAGTTTTCTCAGCTTTGATTTGTGTGGAAATGCCTCTGTTTCACTTGTATTTGGGGGGAATATTTTCCATGGGTGTAGGTGTCTAGTTTGCCACATGCTTTTTTTTTTTCACTTCCCTTCATCTCTTTAAACATGTTATTTCATTGCATTTCTCTTTTTACTCTGGTTTTCAGCAGTTTGGCCTTTGTGTGATTTCCTTCTTTTATCTTGCTTGGGAGTTCACTGTGTTAGGTTAATGTCCTTTTTTTTTTCCCCCTTTTATTATTCATATGTGCATACAAGGCTTGGGTCATTTCTCCTCCCTGCCCCCACCCCCTCCCTTACCACCCACTCCACCCCCTCCCTCTACCCCCCACCCCCTCAATACCCAGCAGAAACTATTTTGCCCCTATTTCTAATTTTGTTGTAGAGAGAGTATAAGCAATAATAGGAAGGAACAAGGGGTTTTGCTGGTTGAGATAAGGATAACTATACAGGGCATTGACTCACATTGATTTCCTGTGCGTGTGTGTTACCTTCTAGGTTAATTCTTTTTGATCTAACCTTTTCTCTAGTTCCTGTTCCCCTTTTCCTATTGGCCTCAGTTGCTTTTAAGGTATCTGCTTTAGTTTCTCTGCGTTAAGGGCAACAAATGCTAGCTAACTTTTTAGGTGTCTTACCTATCCTCACCCCTCCCTTGTGTGCTCTCGCTTTTATCATGTGCTCATAGTCCAATCCCATTGTTGTGTTTGCCCTTGATCTAATGTCCACATATGAGGGAGAACATACGATTTTTGGTCTTTTGGGCCAGGCTAACCTCACTCAGAATGATGTTCTCCAATTCCATCCATTTACCAGTGAATGATAACATTTCATTCTTCTTCATGGCTGCATAAAATTCCATTGTGTATAGATACCACATTTTCTTAATCCATTCGTCAGTGGTGGGGCATCTTGGCTGTTTCTATTCACAATAGGTTAATGTCTTTCGAACACTTGGAAAATTGTCATCTAGTCTCTTTTCCAACAAATCTACTCCATGTAACAATGATCCCTTTCCTCCAGTTTCCATTAACATGGTCCTCCTCTCTTTCAAAGCCCCCATAAGCAGGGCTTTTGGTATTCATATTTGTATAATCACCACGTTTTTAATGAGTTAGATATTCTCAGACTGTATAGATTTTCTCTGTCATGCTCCTCACTTCCTCCTTAACATCTACATTTCTACAACGATGTGTTCAAGGCAAACTAGCCTTTTTATGTCATGGTGCTTAAAATTCTCTAACCATTGACCAATACCAACCACTTCCACATTTTTAGTTATTTGTTACAAACAGTACCTTACTTCCAGATATCAAAATATGTATTAGCTTTCTCTTCCTGCTGTGAGAAATTAAGCCCAATGACTTAAAACAACATAGATTTAGTACCTTACCAAAATCAGTGGGACCAGCCTAACGTGCCAGTGTCTGCAGGACTGGTTCCTTCTGGTGGCTCCAGGGGAGGCTGTTTTCTTGCCTTTGCAGGCTCTAGAGGCTGCTCCCATCCCTTGGCTCATGACTACACATCACATGGCCTTTTTTGCCTTCTACTTCCCGCTGGGATATCATCACCTGTCAGAATGTTTGCCTTTCCCTTACAAGGACTCTTGTGATTATGTAGAGCCCAGCAAGAGAGTTCAGGATAATCTTCCCACCTGAAGACCCTTTTCTAATGTCTTCTCTGAAGACTTTTTTGAGTGTAAGGTAACCTATTCACAGGTTCCAAGGATAAGGACATCTTGGGGAGTATTATTTCTCCTGTTACTTCTTCCTTTTTATGCTCAGTTTTATCACAGCAAGCTACTTGGCTATAGGTACAGTAAGAGGGGACTAAGAGACTCATGTCACTTAATGCAGATGTCCTGAAATCCTAGTCAAGACTGTTGCCCCAAGAGAGAGATAGGAGACATGGAAACAAAATCTTGCTACCAGCTGCAAGCTTGTGGCTACTGTGGCCAGTAAACTCTGGGTATCTTTTGGGAATCCTATTGTGTGGAGGCAGAGATTCCTCTTCCTTCATCTCCATCAGGCCCTTCAACATTAAGCATTATGCTTCAGGTTCTCTTGGCGTCTGGGTTAGTGTCCTCTGTAGTCTTCATGGTCTTGTAAATCCATCCCTCCATCTGGGAGGGCAGTCTTCTCAGGGCTGTGAGCCATCTCTCATTTAGAGTACCCTGAGTCCTCATCTAGGCATCTCTGTTGCTAAATATCTTGAAAGCCATTGTTTAGATCCAGTGTGTAGGAACTTCATGGTATTATGTGATTTTAATTTTTGGTTATCATTTTACATATTTTTAGTCAAGGACATTGCCTCTGAAGGCTTTCTTATGCCACCTGGATCATGCTTGAGATGAGTGCATAAGCAGTAACATTGTTTTATCATTACGAGTGTCCTCTTGCACTGTAGGAGAGTTTATTGTCTACCACTTCAGTTTCCCATGCTGTGTTCTCTCTGGGTGAACTTCATTTATTACATTTCTGTCCATAGTAGCTCACCAATAATTCATCAGTATTGCCAGTTTCTCTTCTCTTTCTTGAGGTGTCTTCCAGGCTCTGTTCTGTGACCATGGACTATATTATTCCTCATCTTGGAAACTGTCTCAGTATTTGTTACTCCAACAAGAGTGGTTGAAAACGAGTGGGTGATGCATGCAAACCTTTTGGACTTACTCCATGACAGACATTGTTCTGAAGGCTTTACATGTCTCAATCATATCAACTCTGAGTTGAATTATAATTATTCTCCTCATTTTACAGATGAGGTAACTAGCCAAGTAGTAATCTCAGTAGCAGCATTTGCTCACGCAGCACTTCAAAGAGCTGTTCAGCTACTCAGAAGGCAGAAATAGGAGGATCTCAGATTGAGGCCAGCCAGTACACAAAGTTAGAGAGACCCAGTCTTAAAAACAAGCCATAAGTGTTGCACATGTCTGTAATTCCATCTACTAAGGAGGTAGAGGTAGGATTGTGGTCCAAGGCCAGCCTTGCAAAAGCTTGAGACCGTCTCTGTAAAGCAAACTAAAAGCAAAAGGACTGAGGGTGTAGGGGTGACTTAAGAGGTAGAATGCTTGCTAAGCAAGGCAAGGCCCTGGAGTTCAGTCCTCAGTGCTGCCAAAATACAAAGAGCCATTTCCTAAACTATATCCTGACTTAAAACTCATAGGCAGATTATTTAGAGCCAAAGGATTTAAATTTTTCTAATAATCCAATAATTACTATATGACTTACAGAAAGATAAAATAAAATATTGAGTTTAAATCCCCTACGTTATGAATTTATTAGCAATAAGCTACATGTTAGTGGCTCTAATTTAGTATGTCGGGGCTGGGACCTGAGATTCTGCATTTCTAACAAACTTTCAAGTGTTGCTGGTCCACAAATCACACTTTAAATTGAAATAATGATGAACAAAATTAGTAAGCTTGTGAGAGCCTCAAAATGAGGTCAGATCTTCTGCCCAGGTGACAAAATTCACTTCCTCCTCTGGTGTACTCCCATTTTAAGTTTAGAATTAACTGTTCTGAAAGTAGATCTGTAATTTATGATTCCTTTTACATTTCATCTTGAAAATCTTTTCTTGCCCTAAATTTTGTTACCTTGAATTCCAAACAGAGTTTGCAATACTTTTACAATTTTTAAATTTTTGATGAACTACCTAGATTCCCACCTCCCTTCTTTCCCTGACTCCCTTCCTCCTTTCCTTCCTTCCTATTTGTATCTGCCAGAATGAGATACAGGGATGAGGGGACTCATACAGTTTAAAAGCTTTTGAAAACTTATACTTAAGTCAGTGCACTTATAAGCAATATGCGAAAGGAAGGTGTTATTATTTAAATCAATAAAATACACTAGCAATGATGAAACAGAAAGTTGAAAGGGCAAAGTTTGGTAGGTATTAACAGGACAGCAACTACACATTTCTCCTGCCAACTCATGTCTGAGGTCAGTCATGCCTAGATGCCCAGGGAAAAGTGTATCAGATTTT